ATAATATTGAAGTGGTCAGATTTTTCTTACCACTTCCCATTTGGATCCCAGGAATTTACTTGAAGTGATACCCTATACCATGATATCGCAGCAATTTCAATATCTTCTGTCCACACCATACCTTTCCACTAAAAGGAAGAGACTCCTGCAGTTTTACATAGGTGTTCTCAGAGAAAACCATACAGAATCAGCCACTCAATTGATACGCCTACGCCACATCCAATGAGTACGACATTCAGCAAAGTACATCAAATTTATTCCATTTATTCACGTAATAAATATTTATTGGGTACTTATTTCCTGATTCGAACTTTATCCCTTTAAAATCGCCAGATGGATCTTTTAAAAATGGGGATCAGATTATTCCTGGCCATTGCTCCTGACGGCTTCCCCTTGCATTGAGTATGAAATCCCAACTCCACCAAAGCCTGCAATGGTCTGGCCCTGAGTGATCTCTGGTGTTATTTTATTTCACTCTTCTCCTCTGGGTCACTAAGCTCTTAATTTCACTCTCCTTTCTCTTTTTCAGACACAGAAAGCACACTCCCTCTCAAGGCCCTTTCCCCCTTCCCTGCCTCCCAGCTAGAATTCCCTTCATCAGGTTTAAAGAGGGCTGACTTCTTTCCAGGCTGCCCCCAACTCAAATACCATCCTCTCTTTCTCTGGCCAGTGTCTAAATTCACCAACTCAATTTTCACCTTCATATGCCCCAAACATTACTTGCTATTCAATGGATTGCACTGTTTTATTTTGTTCACAGCACCAATCACAATCTAAAATTACCTTGACTGTTTATTTTTTAAAAATGTGTTTATTACTTGTTGACTGGGTAGTAAGGATGATGGGAACGGGGCATGTGCCTGTCCTGTTGAGCCTGTATTCCCAGGGCCTAAGAACCTGGCATACAGCACGAATGCCATAAAAGGCTGTTGCATCAATGAATTACTGACAATGAGAGGTAATAAATCCATCTAAATGTGAGGAAGCCACAATCGTTCCTAGTTTTGGCTGTTGAGATGTATTCACTTTATCTATCTAATGGACACTTTTGCATTTTTCCATTTTAAAAAGTGCTTGTGCAGAGAGAGTTGACTTTATCCCATGATGTTACGTGTAGATCTTCCTGGCTGTATCCCACGTGAGAGACAGCATTTCTCTGATCTTTACCACCTTAACATGACCTGTCATTTGAACCCTTGGATTATATTGAGGGTTCTTCTATATCATCAGTACATGCCTTTAGAACTTTTAAAATAACTTGGCTCCAGCAAATGAATTTTGTAAGAGTTGAAGTTACTGACTTTTCTGAGAGAGCTCTTTTACAGCTCTTCGTTTTCAAAAGAACATAAGAATTTGGTATTTCGAATATAACACTTTCATCCTGTATCATTGACAATCTACTGTGATAAGTATTTGTTTATACTTTGATCACCCTGCTATGCGGTGATTTTTCCGGAAGGGAGGGGACTTCAATACGTTCTCGAAATATGGAAAATAGAACATACAGTAGGGATCTTCATATACTTTGAAAAATATTGAACACAATCAGTACAGTAGCATCTGATAACCAATAGATTCAATGCCATTATCTAAAAAAGTCAGATCAACTTTCTTCCATTCTGCCTTTTTTTAGTCCAATAGCTACATTAGAAAAAATTTAAGGTACTATAGTAGAAAATCAGTCACGTTGCAAGAATCATGGTTATAAATCAAATAGGAAATTGTCTGGTCTGCATGGTCCAAGGGCGAATTCCTCAAGACCTGTAGTTCAGATTCTGCTGGACAATGAAGAGCTGCAGCATGTTTCTGAAATATGGTTTAACAGATTAATCAGTTTCAAATTATCTACTGAACTGTTAATACTAGAAAAAAACAGATTTGTGAGGCTTAAAAAAAAAAAAAGTTTTTGTCTCCTCTAAGTCGATCTTCTAATTTCAGAGAAATAAATCCTATCACAAAAAATAATATCAACTTTTACCCTTTGTGTAATATAGAAAAGGTTGTGAAATTTAATTCATATTGCTTCATGAAAAAAAGGCAATGGTATTCAGAAACAGCATCAACTGGGTTTCCCTGGTGGCGCAGTGGTTGAGAGTCCGCCTGCCGATGCAGGGGACACGGGTTCGTGACCCGGTCTGGGAAGATCCCACATGCCGCGGAGAAACTGGGCCCGTGAGCCATGGCCGCTGAGCCTGCGCGTCCGGAGCCTGTGCTCCACACCGGGAGAGGCCACAACGGGAGAAGGCCGTGGTACCGCAAAAAAAAAAAAAAAAAAAAATAGCATCAACTATTTGCCCTGGAGCCAGGCAGAGGTTTTAATCTCTAAAATAATGGTGAACAGCCCTTTCCTTTTTTTTTTTTAACTTAACTTCTAGTCTTGTAAGGAGGCAGAGCTACCTAGCACTTTTAATAAAGCAATAATTTGAAGAGTGTCAAGGTCAACTGCAGTATGCCTAAATGAACTTGAGGACTCTAGCTGTCAAGGGCAATCTTCCTACAGATGAGGTTATTTTATATTGCAATTTGTTGGTTCACTGGTAAACGTCTCGGTTTTTGACCCTCTAGTTTCATTTACTGGTTAATTCAAAGACAGTATTCACAAATAAGATGCAATGTACTTATTGACAACCAGGTCTATTTCCTAGTCTACTTAACCCACTTCCACTTTTAAATAATTAACTGAAGAGCTATAGATAAACATCCTCTGGTGTTCCTGACTCAAGTCACGTCAGATTTGATCATGCACTTGATTTGGTACAAAGTGGACAGTGGACCATTAGACAGTCAATAAAGTGAAGCTGTTGAAGAATGTTTAATTAATTAACAAATATTTACAGTATGTTAAGATAAAGAAAAATGGGCCATGAAACAGTGCTTATGCTATACTCCCTATTTTATCAAGTTTATATTTATGGACCAGAAAATGGCTGAAAGAATACGTAAACCAAAATGTTAACCATAATGTCACATTTATGATGATAATTGCGACTTTTATTTTCCTGTTTCCTACTTTTTTAGAAATGTTCTTCAAATAACATGTATTGATTTTATAATAAGATATGAAAAATAACTAGTATTAAGGATAACTGCTCAGTGATTATGAATTTAGGATGATATGCATTCATTTATTCATTCAACAATTATTTATAAAGTGCCCACAGTAGGTATGCAGCCGGGAACAACACAGAGTTTTCTATTATAATAAATAACACATTTAAAAAATACACAGTGTATCAGATGGTGATAATTACTATGGGGGAAAATAGAGCAGGGAAAGAACGTGAGGGTACCTACTGGGGGTTGGTGGGGGGTGAGTGAATGTCCTTTCAATGAGGCATCTGAGAAGCCCTCATTGATAAGATCATTTTGGGGCACAGATTTCATGGAAAAGAGGGAACAAGCCATCAGGTTTCCTAATATCTGTGGAATGGTGGTTTCAGGGCGAGAAATAAAAGTAAGAAAGACCAGGAGCAGGATGGACACGAAGGCCAGTGTGGAAGGAGCAGAAGCGTGGGGTAAACAAAAAGGAAACAGACCAGACAGACGATGGGGAGTGAGGGACAGGCTGGGCCTGTAGGTCCTTGGAGGGGATTGGAAGGAGTTGGGCTTTAGCAACCTTCGAAGGTCTTAAGTCCTTAGAGCAGAAAATGTGATATTTTACCAAATTTAATATAAAGGAAGTGAAAGTTTAATGTAAATAGTTTAATGTATTATTTTTAACATCTTTAATGGAGTATAACTGCTTTACAATGGTGTTAGTTTCTGCTGTATAACAATGTGAATCAGCTATACATATACATATATCCCCATATCCCCTCCCTCTGTGCCTCCCTCCCTCCCACCCTTCCTATCCCACCCCTCTAGGTGGTCACAAAGCACCCAGCCGATTTCCCTGTGCTAGGCGGCTGCTTCCCACTAGCTAGCTATCTTACATTTGGTAGTGTATATAAATCCTAATGTATTTTTTTTTCTGCAAATATTTTTCAAGGTTTTATTGCAAACCAAAGTTGGTTTATCACACACAAAAAAAGGTGTGTGGTAGGGAGGGGGGGAAAGGATTGTACATTATTATAACCATGTTAATTACAGTACATTAAAATGGTGGTTTACATTACAAATAAGCCTGTAGGTTTAAATATACTAGTGTTATAACCCAATGTTTCTTTATACAATACATATACTTATCAGGAATGCAAAAAAGAAACAAAAACATAAATAATGCCCATTTTACAGGTGATATTTTAAACAATGTAAACACCAGGCTCTGACTGACAAGTGGGGCATTGGTCCATAAAAACCTTTTCTAAAAATGGAAATATTTGTAGCAGCAATGCTTCTTTAAGCATCTGGATACAAGTCACTGCAAGACCATTTTCGATAAATTTTAGTTATTAACTATATCTTACAAAAAAAAAGCCTACACATAAATTTATCTTCCAAATATGGAAGAAACACACAATGTCCCACGTTGCAGTGTCCTGCAAGTGTCACATTGATGCTTATAACTGAGTCCTTCTGTGAGCAAGCATACCACACTCATACGGCCGATCACACAGGAAGTCCACAAGGAAAAACAGAACGGAAACACTGGGCAACAGGAAGAACTTTGGAGCTAACACGATCTCATCAGAAAAGGCACGTTTCATAAGATTCGTTATCACGGCCCGGACAGACCTTCAGAAGCTCCTTCTCCGAACAGCGTCCTCCTACGAATGAGACCACTGCATCTGCCTGGGGTGGCCCTCTACTGCTCATTTCAGAGATAGCACCACACTGGAAGGAAGAATAAGGAAAACCTCCCGAGCTCACTGAGGAGGAGGTGCTCTTCGAAAAGCTTCCAGCAAACAGTGTGCAATAAGATTGCCAAGATTGCAAGCTTCCAAATTCCAAAAAGCAAATTCTCTTTTAAGATGTCCTGTCAGCTGGCAGCTCTGCCCAAAGGCTAACTAAAACATTTCAAAAACGCCCGTAAAATGCTTCGCAACCAACCCTAAGACCATTCAGAGGAAAGAGTCCACGGGAGGTGCGTAGGAAAAGCCCAGGAAGGCCTCAGCCACTTCCTTGACGCTGGCTGGGAGGAGGATACTGTCGGGCGACCGACCGATGGAGTTGGGGACGGGCTCTTCGGTAAACTCGGGATCAAAGTGCCCCAGGTCGCTGGGTCCACTCACATTTGGGTTAAAAGGGGGAGTAACCTTCTTATTAATGAGATCATCCCAGTTAATTAGGGAGAAGAAGACGTGATTCTTAATCTCCATAAAGTCAACCTTGGCACCAAGCCTCTTTGTCCTGTCCTTCTGCAGGAGGCCCTCCAGGACGTGTCTTGCAGAATTTGTAATATTTGGCTTCAACTGGAGGGGTTTGTTCAGAATGCTGTCGTACATCTCAGCTGTGTTTCGGCTATAAAAGGGAGACAGGCCATACAGCATCTCATATAAGACGGCCCCCAGACACCACCAGTCCATGGTCCTATCATAAGGCTGCTTATGAAGCACCTCAGGTGCAAGATACTCGGGTGTGCCGCAGAAGGTGGACGTCGTGCCATTATGTTCAGTGTTCTCCTTGCAGAGTCCAAAGTCAGTAAGGACAATGTGTCCCTGTGAAACCAGCAAAATATTCTCTGGCTTTAAGTCTCTATAAACGAGACTACCTGCACGAGAGTGCAGGTAACCCAAGGCACTGGCTATTTCAGCAGCATAGCACCGAGCCTGTGGTTCCAGGAAGCATCGCTCCCTCTGGAGATGGTAGAACGACTCTCCACCGTTAATGCAGTCTAGGACAAAGTACAGTTTGTCAGCCGTCTGGAAAGAGAAGTGGAGGCCCACCAGGAAAGGGTCTTTCACGTTCTTCAGGAGAACATTCCGCTCTGACATACTATGCTTTTCCTCCTTCTTTTTCAGGACCGCTTTCTTGGTGGAGGAGAAGGGTTGGCATTCATGAGCTCAGGCTCCTGAGGTTGGGAGATTTTCAAAATGGACTGAACTTCAGGGTGTTTGCATGCATAGGAGTTACTGGCAATCTTCTGAATAAAGTTGTTCAGGCCCATCCTTCTCTGTTTCATGAAAGCGATGAGAATTGCTACCATGCCCCTCACCCTGGAGTAAGTGAGGGTGTCCCCAGCAGCCTTGGTTTTCACCGTCATCACCACAGAGATGGAGCACGCGGAGGCGTCAGACACGGGAGACCGGCTCAGCCAACACTCTGCGTTTTTTATAAGACCGATTTTTACAGCAGTTTTATGTTTACAATGAAACTGGAGGGCAGTACAGAGATTTCCCATACACCCGCATTCCAACACAATTATCAACATCACTCACAAGAATGTTACATTTGTTACCAATGATGAACCTACATCGACACGTTATAATCTCCCCAAATCCATAGCTTATTTTAGGATTCACTCTTCATGTCATACATTTAATGGGGGCTTGAACAAATTATGATGACATCCATGTATCATTGTAGTGTCACAGAAAAATTTCACTGCCCTAAAAATACCATTTGCTACATCTATTTATCTCCCCCAAACTCCGATTTTTTTTTACTGTCTCTATCGTTTTGCCTTTTCCAGAATGTCATATAGTTGGAATCACAGGGCATGTAGCCTTTTCAGGTTGGCTTCTTTCACTTGGTAGTATGTGTTTAACTCTCCTCCATGTCTTTTCATGGCTTAATAGCTCATTTCTTTTTAGTGCTAAAGAATATTTCATTGTCTGGATGTATCACAGTTTCTTTATCCATTTACCTACTGAAGGATACCTTGATTGTTTACAAGTTTTAGCAATATGAAAAACGCTGTTATAAACATCCATGTACAGGTTTTTGTCAGGGGTAAGGACAGTTTGATGTTTTCATATTTAACGAAAACATGGGAGGATAAGAAAAAATTCATTAGATAGAAAATGAAAAACAAGAACATTCCAGGCAATGGAATCAGTATCACAAAAAGGCATAAGTATAGGACTGCCTACTGTCTTTAAGGAGGAATGAGACACAAGCTAACAGAATCTTAAACAAAACAAAACAAACAAATAAAAGAACCTCAACAACTTATTACAGCTGCCTGACATGCTCTTTTCCCAATTTTCTCTTGGATAACTTATCACATCTTAAATGATAAGAGAAGAGACCTTCTCCAACTCTACCATACGTTAAGCTACATTGAGTCTGTCTCCTTTCTTTCTCAGAGAGCCTACTTCCTTTCCTTTGTAGCAACTATGATGAATAGGACTCATGTATTCATCTGTGCATTTCCTTTTTTTTTTTTTTTTTTTTTTGCGGTACGCGGGCCTCTCACTGCTGTGGCCTCTCCCGTTGTGGAGCACAGGCTCCGGACGTGCAGGCTCAGTGGCCATGGCTCACGGGCCCAGCCGCTCTGCGGCATGTAGGATCTTCCCAGACCGGGGCACGAACCCGTGTCCCCTGCATCGTCAGGTGGACTCTCAACCACTGCGCCACCAGGGAAGCCCTAAATCTAGGTATCTTTTATCCAAGACTTCACAGGCTAGTGAATTCCATGCTATAAATGTGGGTTATATTCTGTGGGTCTTGAGAAACCACTGAAATGTTTTGCTTAATAGGGTAGGGATATGATCCAATCATATCTATATTTTAAAAGAAAGAAAACTTCGGCAGCGGGGTGAAGGAGACTTGGAGGTATGTTCTGGAAACAATCAGAATATTACATTGTAAATTAGAAGTTGCACGAAGGTGAAAAGAAGCCAGTGGCAGTGGGCTTATACGAGGGGAAAAATGCAAAAGATATTTTGGAAGGTGACTGAAGCTGGTTTTACAGGATGTGTGAAGTAATAGAGAAAAGAGAGGCAAAAATTACTGAGATTTCTTATGTGCGTGACAGTAGTGTAAGTCTTTCACCAAGTAAAGACTATAAAATATGCTATTGGATTCATTTGCCTGAATTCTTTATTAAAACAAGAAGTTGAGTCATTTAAGAGCATATGCTGAGATTATATCTTTACTTTAGTTAAAAGTTAGGCTATTAACTAAAATTATCGGTCATAGGTTCTGTAATTCACTTGTTGAAACAATAAAGTTTACTTAACTAGGAAACAGAAAGCCAAGAATACAGCACCTATAAAACCTCCCTAAGACCCTTCAGATTCTCACTGGCCTTCTTTAAGACAAAACTATCCAGTGCTTCATTTTATATCTACATATTAAATTGCAAAACTTTGTCTCCTTCACCAAAATACTTTGCTGTTGAGTAAGATTTCTCCAGCAAGTACAGTTCCCTTAATTGGCGTTCTGCTAACTTGGCACCTTTCTTCATAACGGTAAACAGTTGTGCACTAATGCCCGTCCATTCCAACTTCTGATGGACTTTTCTCTCACCTTTTTTTCTTCTTATGACATTTTTTTTTAATCTTGTCCTTTCTAATGTCTTTGGCTTTAAGCACATGCAAATTTCCCTAGTTGAGGAAGAAATCCTTTCAATGTCACTGCTGACTCTTCCTCTCAGAACCAGGCCCCTTGTATAAGAGTTCTGTATGCCACCACTAAGTAAATGTCCTGGGAACTTGGGACAAATCTAAAAGGAAAAACATGCTGTATTGATATCCAGGAATGTATTCTATTCCAAAGAAAGTCACTTGCCTCGATATATATATTTTGACAATGTTTAAATTCTAAACAAAACTGTTTTTTCAGAAGGCTTCTCTAAAAGGCAAAACCCATACCAAATGAAAAGAAAACAGAAACAAAATAATTATTTTCAAATACACACATGTAGATGGAACGGAAGTCAGAAAAGGAGACTGACTGGATCATTTTTGCCACCATTCCCAGCCATGAATGGCAATGGATGGTGCTATTTCACTAGGAGTGCCACCAGTAGGAGGTTTTTGAGACAAGCAGACAGGGTCTGAAGCATGACTCTGGTCTTACATAGGCAAGGACAGGATGAAGTCAAGCCCAGAAAATTCAGATCAAGAAGGGAAAATCAGAAAGATTGCCAGCTATAGGCAAATAAGGACCAGAATCCAGCTAGGCTGCTGAGACCCAGTCCTGGGAGAAGCTCCTCCATCTCTGTGGTTCTTTACACAAACTGCTGGGCATGAGAAAAGAAGCCCTACAACCTTAGGAATTTTTAATAGTTAGAAGGAAATCTTACACTTTTCCACAGGGAGGAAGAAAGAGAAACCACAGGCAAGCAAAGGCCCAGAAATGAGACTAATCAGAGGTTCCAAAATGAAGTTTGATTAATATGCCAAATGCATTTGGGGAAATGGTAAAGGACAGGGATTGAAAGTAAGTAATGTACTGAGCCTTGAAGACTAAGCAGATAATTTTCAATCTGCTGCAGAAGGGAATTGGGAGCAATCAAAGGTTTCTAAATAGAGAAACTACAGAGTAAAAGTACAGGGAAAATTACCAAAAAATAAACACTGCTTGGTTTTTAAGCTTTTTTAGAGAGGGAGGTTCCCAGAGAATGAATTCCAGATGAAAAAAAAATGCATCTTGAGAAAACAATGCAATCAGAAATAAATAGGAAATGGAGACAACCCAATTCACAGAATTCTGTAAAGTTCACGCAGCTACTGAGATGACGAAAGTTGCTGATTTTACATTTTGAAATAAGACGCAGAGCCATAGTAGTGAAAAAATTAATGAGACATATATATTCATGACCATCACAAGGGAGAGATGGCTGCAGTCTCATGGAAACCATCACACTGTTTTCCCAACACACCTACATTTTTACACAAGTTGGCCTCCAAACCTGAATTTAGAAAAACCGAGTTCTAATTTCTATTCAACCTCCAACTATCTTGAGCAAATCCCATATTCACGGTGAATCTCAGTTTCTCCATCTACGAAGAAGGAGTATGGGACATAAAATCCTCAGGGTCCCTTTCATGGTTGACATTCCCGGATTCTCTAATGTCATAAAATGCTCATGAGAGTACAAAATTTTAAAAAGCTACCCTGTTCCTCACTATCCAAAAGGTGCTTGCTTAATCATTTCTTGTTTACACAAAGAAAGTCAAAGTATTTCAAGAAAATTACAATATAGGTCTCTTAATGCTGGCATGAATTGATAGCAAAGCACTGGAAGAAAATTCTTTTGCACCGTATTTCTGTCTCTGCGCTGGAAGCACGTATTGTGATCTAAATGAGCCATTGTAAGTAACGGATAATGACACTGCATTCCTTTGTCAATAAAGCCTGAGATATGCCTCCAACTCTGCTCGTTTGAACATCCCCAGATTTTCAAGAATTGACATTCATTTCCTCCTGCTTTCCTAGCACAAGTGGCTGGTCTTGTTCTATCATCACAGTTGAAAGGAATTTTGCTTTATGATGACTTTATTCAATCACACTCTAAAATGGAAAGTAGATGAATGGCGGGGTGGATTAGAAATAACTAGAAGTCAGAACCTGGATCTATATTTAGGGAGCAGTCCTGTAAAATTAATATTTTTGATAGTACTAAACATTTGTTTTATAAAGATTATTTAAAATCGCCATATAAACAAATATATATATTACACAAAAGTTCAGTGCTATTTTTAAATACTTCTATATTCATTATTATAATATTCCTTATATTATAGCTCTATAATTTCAAATAGGCTAAGGACAGGGGAAGATGGAGAGTAAAAGCACAGGCTGGGGATTTAGAGTAAGGATGCCTAGAACTGCATCCTGGTTTACCTCTCAATATTATGTGTTCCTGGCTGCATCTCTTAATGTCTTAGAGCCTCACTTTTAGCTTAGGTAAGATAGTAGTTAAATCAAAATTAATAAAGTTAAGCATCAGTAGGCAGCCTATATTTACAGATGAAGTTTGGGAAGGGGGGAGTGATGCAGATAATAAACATCTCTTGCTGGATGGGATTTTAGAGCTCAGAAAAGGATAGAACATGAACAGATACCTACCATACAGTATTCAGTGCTGTAATAGAGATATAAATGTCACAAGAAAGTGACACGGGTGTATAGGGGTAGAACAACTAATTTTGTCTAGAAGATAACATCACCAAGCATATCACTATATTAGTGGAGAGTTCCACAAAATTATATAAAAGAAAATGCTTGTTAAACTTTAAACTCACATAGGAATATTAGTTTCTTTCACTTATATAATTGAATAAACAACACTGGAGTTGACTATTTGATATT